CTCTACAAATAGAGGAAGATCTGGCATCAGACAGACTTGAAGGCTGCTAGTCTCTCAACTTTGTCTCACGGACGTGAGTTGCACTAAGCCATTTGTAGTGCTTTCTAATTTAACTTTATTTCTTGTATTATATATTTATCTGTATATGATTTAACAGTTCATTTCTTGTTATATATCTAATTATCTTTATAAATAAATATATTAAATTATCAGAATTTGGTTTTATCTCTCTAGAGAACCCTGTCTAACACATTTTGGTACCAGGAGTGGGGTTTATATATAATGCTCCTGAATCTCATTTTATGAATTGATCTTTTAAAGGTGATTGTTGTTAACATGTGACCTATAATAAATAATAGACTTGGTCAGTTTGGAACCACAGTTACTTGACTCCATCAGTAAGTGTGTTTTCAAGGATGATAGAAGCGGGGCTGTTTCCAGCACTATATAACTGAGCCTTTCCCATTCAAGGATTAACATTATTTAATTTTAAAAATTCAAAGCTAATTAATTCAAAATTACAGTTAGCTTTTGAAGGCGATGGCAGTATGGTGTAATGCGTTACAGCTCATATTCTGGAGCCAGACTGTCTGCCTAGGTTGGAATTCATCACTGTTGTTAACTAGCTGTATGCTTACAGACCTTGACAAGGTCCGTAACCTCTCTGTGTTTCCATTTTCTCATCTGCACCAAGAATAAATTAGTACCTAACTCATGATTGTGATGATGATTAAATGAATTACTGTGAATATATATAGATAGTGCCTGGCATACACTAAACTTTCCGTGTATATGAGCTACTGTTATTACTGTTATTAAGTTTATACATGAATTAACATGAAGATTCATTGTGAAGACTATACTAGTTTTATTAATCCAAATAGTTTTTCAGCTCTTTAAAAGTAATTCTCTTATCTATTGAAAACAAATAGTAAACTAAAATAACATTTCATAAAGTGTTTTATCTTTTTTTTTTTTTAGGCTCGGAATGTTAACACTGGCGAATTGGCAGCAATTAAAGTAATAAAATTGGAACCAGGTAAATTATGTGCAATTTTATCATTCTTAGTTTGCTAAGAAGCCATTGGGTATATCTTAAGGCTTGTCATCATGATGCTCGGTCTTCCTTCCTCCCGATCTAGACAGTAATTGTGACCTAATATTAGACTGAGCTCCATTATTGTGAGTTTACTTACTGTGATCATGTCAACTGAAGTCTAATTATAGAGAATACTTCGTAGTTTACACACACACACACACCCAAAGTGAAGTCTAATTATAGAGAATACTTCATAGTGTACACACATGCACACACACACCCCAAGAAGCCTGGTGGTGGTGTAGTGGTTAAGCATTGGACTGTGATCTGCATGGTTGGCTATTCAAAACCACCAGCAGCTCTGCGGGAGAAAGACTAGGCTTTCGATTTCCGTAAACCCACAGAGGCTTGCTAAGAGTCAGCATTGACTTGATGGCAGTGGATTGGGGGGGGGGGGGGGGGGGGGGG